AGTGTGACTCGATGGACGGATGTGTATGTGACCCTTGGGCAAATATATATGGCATGAAAGCTGACAGAAACGCCCTCTAAAAAAATAAAAAAAAAAAGGGTTTTGTTTTACGTATTTGTTTTTATTGTAAAAAAAAAAATTACCCGCCATTTTTATTTTTTCTATTACGAATCGTTAATAAAAAAAAAAAAAAACCGTTATCGTGGGTAGAGAATCGCCCCCAAGAAAAAAAGAAATCCCGATAAAAAAAAAAAAAAAAAAAAAAAAAACATAATTTCTTGGTGGTCTTTGGGCAAAGACACTGGTTTGTATGCCCAATGAAATTACTTCCGGTTGGACAAATCTCGTTTGAATAACCTGATATTTCGGAAGCTGGAAATGAACCTTTCTATTGGAAAGATGACCCAATCGATCATAAATACATCTGCGCATGATTCCTGTCATCTTATTTTATATGTTCACTCATCTGAATACGTCACTCTTCATTTCAAAAATTTCTTTCGTTTGAAAGGGGATGGGGGATGGCGAGGGGGGAGCGGGGGGAGAGAAAGGGCAGATGAAAAACGTCTTGCGTGAGTCCGAAAAAAAAATAAAAATTCTCGAAGGGACGATGACGACATTACAGAGACGGACCATGAAGTTTTTCATTTATCCGTAAAATTAGGGACGAAAACCGTTTTTTTTTTTTTATAAATTTTTCCTTTTTTTTCTCCCTTAAATTTTTTATTTTTAAATAAGTACTAGGTGGAGGTGTCAAAAAAAAAAAAAAAAAAACTTTATTCGTGTTTTCAATTTCACAGACAGTTAATCAAATGTTTTTACTACTATTAATTACGACCAACGGAAACGATACAAAACGGAAGTAATCGATTACCCGTAATAATAACAATTGTTTTCAAAAACTTTTTTGTTTTCCATTTTGTTTTTCATTTTCAGGTTTTCTATTTTATTCGTTTTATTAATTTATTATTGAACAAAATTCTTAAACAAAAATATTTAAATACGTTGTTTTTATCTTTGTTTTGTTTATGCAAAAAAAAATTTTCCCTCGACTAAAAAAAGAAAAACTACGAAAAACCCGAATATTTTTTTAATGGCGGTACAAAAAACTTTTCCGTTTTAATTAAAACCTCTTTTTTTTCTTTTAACGAAAATAAATTATTATTATTATTATAACTATTTTACTTTTTCATATATTTCTCACACTCAAAACCAGGTGGCAAAAAAAAAAAATTATTTTAATAATTTTCATCATCATCATCGTTTAATTTAGTTTTTTTTTCCTTCGTTCGCCATATTTCCTTTTTTTCTATTTTTTTTTAAAGTTTATTTACGTTTATTTTTATGATTGTTTTTATTATTCATTTATTATTTTAACAATAATAATAATAACAATATTTCTATTTTTACTCTTTCGAAATTTATATATTTTATTTTGTTTTATTACCTTATTTCGTCCCTCGAATTTCATTATCATTTTTTCGTCTATTATTAGCATTATTATTTTAAAAACATTAATAATTTGTTTTTTATATTCTTTTAAAAGTTTTTTCCACGTCATTAAAATCGTATTTCGTATAATACAAAGCTTTGACAAAAAAAAAAAAAAATGAAAGATCCGCCATCGAATTCGTCAAGTAAGATAAATAAATTTTTTTGTCGAAAATCGGATTACGTAATGTTTTGTAACAATAATGTCGAAGTACGTTAATATCATTGTATAAAGTCAAACTAACGATTCTCGCTTCAAATGACACGATATAATATAATATATATATATATATATATATATATATATATATATATTTATATATATATATATAAAAATATATAAATATATGTATGTACGCGCATGAAATAAAGTGTGTGTTTACCCCGGCGGGATTTCGTTGTAAACAAAAGTTTAAGGAGGAGGCATCTTTTTGAAAAACAACAACAACAACAACATAAATCGGCACAAAGGATTCAGTTACAAAAAAAAAGGAAAAGAAAGGAAAGGAAAAAAAAAAAAAAAGGCTCGAAATCCCTCTTCATGTGCGATTCAATAAATGGAATTAAAAGCATCATAGATTATATCCAGTTGACATAATAATATAAATAAATATCAAGTTTCTTTTCTTTCTTTTTTTTTTCCTGTTCTCACTCTCTCTCTCTCTTTTCCTTTTTCAAAATGGCGCGGGTCCTGTATGTAGTTTTAAAAAAAAAAGGAAAAGGAGGATGTACGTACATACATATATTTATATATATATATTGATTTCACGGAAAGATATGAAAAACAATACGTATAGTTGCATGCATTTGAAATTAGGGATGTACTTATATCAACCAATGAGAAAAAAGTATATAAATATATACAATAGAAATGTGTGTGTGTGTGTATCATTATTGTATTAAAAAAAGGGAAAAAATATTAGAGTGATTGTGACAGTTTCATATATTTGGGTGTTCGACAAGAGACAAGAGAGAGAGAGAGAAAGAGAGACCCATTATCAGTCCAACAGCTTCCTTTGAAATCGAAAAAAAAAAAAAAAAATTTTTGCGCCCCTTTTCTCCCCCTTTTTTTTTAAATAATAATTTTCATCATACATCGACCATTTTTGTTTGTAATTCCCCTTAAAAAAAAAAAATTATTTTATGTATATATTTTAAGTTTATGTCGATAAAATGACATTTTTGTTTTTCTGAATTATTATTATTATTATTATTATTATTATTATTATTATTAAGCCGTCATTATTTTTTTCCTTCGAAATATGCAGGAAAAAAAACAATTTTGCAAATACGAATAAAATTTTATTAACTTATTTATTATTATTATTTTTAAAAAATTTAAAGTTCTTTAATTTAATTTTATAAAATTTATGTCGAAAACTAAAAAACAAAACGAAAACCGTCTGCTAATTATAAAAATGAAGGGAAAAATTTTTTTTTTTTTTGCCGGAAGAATTGTGAAAAATATTTTCTTTTTTTTTTGGTGGGGGGTATCAAAAGGGCCGCCGACTCAATGAAACATTTAAAAAACAACCTTTTTATGCCCATAAATTTTTGTTTATATTTTTGAGTTTCTTTGACGTTTCAACAATAAATGTTTATATTTTATATATATTTAGTAACAAATTTTTTTTTATATATGTAGAATGTATCTGTTGTCCCACCGCTTGTTTAAATTTCCTTTCACCCCCACCCACCTCCCCCTCTCCCCGGCTTTTCACCTCATTTAAAAATTTTTTTTTTATTACTTGAATTTGGCGCCATTTTTTTTTTTCATATATTCGAGTTTTTTAAATTTTAAAACGAAACAAATACGTTATAATTTTTTTTTTTTATAAATTGAAATGTAAGCAAAGCAAAAAATAAAAACGTGGTTACAGACGATGATTTTAAATTATAAAAAAAGAAAAACCGAAATAAGGAACAAAAAATAAACCTGGATTGTGGTAAAAATAAATAAATAAATAAAAATTTGGGTCTTGCTTTCTCTTATATGACAATAACATCAAAATACAAGATGGCCATAAATCTTTTATTCGTTTTTTTTTTTTTTTTTTTTTTAAATGTTGTAAATTTCAAAGTGAAATTTATTAAAAAGGGAAAATGGATGAATTAAAACCGAATATATTATAAACCGACCCGAATTTTTTTTTTCTTTTTCTTTATTTTTCTTCTAAAGAGGGTAAAAAAGAAAAAAATAAAAATAAAATAAGAAAACAGATGGTGTAAAAAAGTAAAAGAAAAAATTCACGGTTTTGTCGTTGAGGTACGAACGAGCGAACGAAAAAGATAAAAAAAAAATTTTCCCGAATGGAAAAAATTTGTTAAAACAAAAGAAGAAAGAAAGAAAATAGAAAAATAAGGGGAAAGTGGGAAAACAAAAAAAAAATTGGAAAAAGTGCGCGAGCGCGCCCGCGCATTCGCATCCAAGAAAATAAAAATGGCAGACGATATAAATTTTCGTATTACGAAACGTTTTCCTTAACGCATTTTATAATCGCGTAATTAAACTTACCGGTAAAAAAAAAAAAGATGGTAGCGGGAAGGAAAAATGGTAAAATAAAAATATAAAATAATTTTTTACCACGCACGCTTGCCAACAACAAAAACAAAAACGACAACAACAACATATGAGAAGAAAAAAAACCATTTTTAACATTTGAACTTAACCTCAACAATTTGTTTTTTTTTTTTTTTTCGTCATTTTCACTGAATAAACCATAGAGTAATAAACCATAGAGTAATTGGATGTTTGGTTTTTAAAAAAATCAGGTTTTTGTGTGGTAAAAATGACTACCTTATTTTTATTTTCGATTTTTTTTTTTATATTTGAAAATTGAAGAAAATAAATAATGGGCAAACTCAAGTAGTCAATGAATAATAATAATAATAATGATGATGATGAGAATGAAAATAAAATAAATGTTTTGATCACGTATCGAAATTACAATGTAGTAGTAGTGGTATTAGATAAAAAAAAAAATAAAATAAAACGTGGAAGAGAAAATCAGTGAGAATTTAAACCGCAGCAACCGATTGATGAGAGCCTGAATAAAAAAAAATGAAGTTGCAACGACTTAAATTATAAATATTCTGGAAAATTTTATCTGGAATTAGAAAAAAAAAAAAATCAGGAGCGTAATTAGAATTTTTTCGTCCGTTTTTAATTCGCGGTTTTGTTTATTTTTAACTATTTTTAACAATTTTTTTATTTTGGTTTTGTTAGGAATTTAAAAAAAAAAAAGAAAATTTGTTGCTTGAAAAAATTTTTAACGGTTAATTTTTCAGGAGCGGTAAAAGGGAAAAAGGGGATAGAGGGGGGGGAATAAAACGTTTAAAGTTTATTTAAAAAAAACAAAAGTAAAGCCCTCGTAAAAAAAACAAAAACATTTTTAAATTATCCGTTGTTTATATACCGTACCGTATATTTTCGATCGTTCATAAAAAAAAAAAAAACCGGAAACAGTTGTTTAAAATATCAAACGTACCGACATTTATAATAAAATGATTATAAAATAACGCTACGGATCGAATATTTAATCCGTGTCGTCACATTCGCGTAACATTTATTTTTTTTTTTTAAATATAT